GACAGGGTCTCACTAAGTTGCTTAGGGCCTCGCTAAGTTGCTGAGGCTGTCTTTGAACTCCTCCTGCTTCAGCCTCCCAAGCCATTAGGATTACAGGCATGTGCCACCCTGACTGGCTAGGACAGTTGTTTTTACAGAGAGTACTAGTCAGGGGAATCCGTTTATAATGACAACAATACCAAACATATTTTACCAAGCACTGTACGGAGTGTTTATGGTCAAATTGCATAGATCCCCCAGTAGGTTTATGAGGGAAGGGTCCTTGGCATCCAAAGTTCACGTGGTAGTGGGGCTGGGCTTTGAACTTAGGCAGAGAGATCTCAGGTCTCTTTTTTAAACACTATGGTAAAATGTCTCCCTGTCTCTTCAGGAATGTCAACAGAGAGTGCTCCAGGACTGGGATTATGGTGAAACAAGGGAGATACGGACTCAAACTAAAAATTTAAGGAGACATAATAAAAAACAGTAAAAAACACCTCAGTAGTCATGATAAATATTATTTAATAAATATTTACACATCTAATAAATTAATAAACAGCATTTTAATATAATATTTTTTAAAGTACAAATACCAAGAAAATCCACAATGAAGCTGGGCCTGGTGATATATTCCTCTAGATCCACTGTCATGGAGGTTGAGAAGGGAGGATCGCTTGAACTTTGGAATTCAGGGGCTGGGCAGGCCCTGACAACATACTGAGACTTCATCTCATTAAAAAAAAAAAAAAATCCTTTGGATGTAGTGGCATAACCTGTAATTCTAGCAGCTCCGGAGGCTGAGACAGGAGGATCACAAGTTCCAAATTAGCTTGGGCAACTTAGTGAGACCCTGTCTCAAAAAAGAAAGAAGTATGGGGGTGTGGCTCAGTGGTAGAGCACCCTTGGATTCCGTCCTCATTGTGGGGGGGGGATATCCAAGATGAGCAGAACGATAACATTTTTAACATCTCCTTCCTTTTCTTCCCTTCCCTTTTCCTTCCTCTCCTCCTTCCTTCCTTCTTTCCCTGTTTCCTACTGGAGCTGGGGATGGAACCGCCCTCCCCTCACACAACCTAGACAGACACTTCACCACTGAACTATATTCCAAACCAATGTCAATACTTTCAATAAAGATAGGATCCATGGTCCTGATTTTCCTTTGGGCTCTGGTTTGACTCAGCACAGAATACTTACTGATCCTTTGTCCCAGGTTTGGCTCAGGCATCTAGTGATGGAAAATTCCAGAGAAGCAGTCATTTTTTTTTTTTCTTGTTGTTGTTCTGATGGAGATGAGGGAAGAGAAAGAATCTGGACTTAAACACAGTGACCCAGAGCTATCTGTGGAGCTTCCAGGTGAGTATGTTTGGGTTGGAAATGAAGAAATAGGACTCATCGACATCCTGGATCAGACAGGACCCGATCATCTCACATCCTTGGCCCACGATTGGTGCCTGTTCAGCACATGTGGTCTAAATCATTGGTCCTCGAGTTTGCATCATAGTTCAGGAATCTTTTCAAAATCTCTCTCCAAAGTTTTTCTCTCCTTTGCATCACAGACCTCAGATATACTCCCACATGGGTGTGGAAGTTTGCTTCTGGAGTGTTAATAAAAATATCTTCTGAGGAAAAGAGAAATTTGTGTGTGTGGGCGGGGGAGGGGGTAGGGCCATAAAGGGGAAAGACAAAAATTAATAAATGGAATCAATTTCTTCTTGATTAGCTGAGTCTCCAGAAACAGAATAAAAGCTAAGGGAAACTGAAGGAAGGAAAGAAAGAAGAAAGATTATAGGAGCTAAAAATATTATGAGAAAAGTTTGGCTAAGCATCAAAGACAGGCAAATGTGTTTCCCAATAGAAGCTCTGGTTTAGATATGTCAGGAAGCACAGCTCCAAAGGATGGGTGGAAAATAAGGTTATTTAGACTAAGCTCAACGGAATAAAATTTTAAAAGATTTAGAGGAGCATCAGATGGAGGAACAAGCCTTTCAGCAATATGGAAGCTCTGCCGCCTCAACCCCAAATTCTCTGGATCAAGTGTTGGCACTGAGGATGGAAATTTGCGCCACAGTTTTCAGGACCTTGGACCAAATAGTCTTTCCAGCCTGACTTTATAATTCTAAAGGGAACAATCTCTGTTAAAGCCTAGCTACTTTCCTTATCATATCCTCAGCTGCCTGCTTCCCTATCCATTTAATAAAACATGGACTGTTCTGGAAAACTTCCACAACCAGGCAGGGAATGTAGCTCCCATGCATACACCACTTCTGTGAGGTCAATCAAGTCCAATTCTAGTAGGATTTCGTATTTGGTGAAGATGGATCATGAAAAAAGAGTTGCTATGATATCCAAGCCAGGTCAAAACATTTCCTACATTCAATGGGCTTTTTGCTTGGCTTCATAAGCCCCATAGATGTATATAAATGACCAGATGTGAAGATCGTATCTAGGGGCTAGAGAGTGTTAAATGAGCACATGGGCCACAGTATAAATAACATTATAAGAAAATTATTTATTTATTCTCTGTAGATGTGTTTTCCAATTTAATCTCCACCACCCCAAGGAAGAAAATGCAGTGATTTTTTTTTCTTTTGCATCCTAGGGCAAGGACATTATTTATTGGGTACTGGCTAGGCACCAGAAGTCATGCCAAGTGCTTCCCATGGATCGTTCCACTCTGTTCTCACAGTAATTCTTGGGTAGGCACTATTACTATCCTCATTTCACAGAGAAGTACATGAAGGTTTAAAGATGTGGATTTATTTGCCTGTTGAAAATGGATCTGGGATGCCAGTTTGGGCAGAGAAGGGCTCATGACAAGAATAGGACTAAAACTGGGCCCAGGGGTGCGCTGACCAGAGGACACACCTCATGGTAGTGACTGGTTCAGAGGAAGGGTGGTGTAGAATTTGGTTGAGTTCAGTCTTTTTTCGTTACTAGTTATGGGACCTGGGGCATGGCCCTTTTTTTTTTTTTGTGGTTGGAGGTAGAACTCAGGGGCACTCAGCCACTGAGCCTCATCCCCAGCCCTATTTTGTATTTCATTTAGAGACAGGATCTCACTGAGTTTCTTTAGGATCTCACTTAGTTGCTGAGGCTGGCTTTGATCCTTCTGCCTCTGCCTCCTGAGCTGCTGGGATGACAGGCGTGTGCCACCACACCCGGTTGGGGCATGGCTCTTGCTTCTTCTTTTTTTTTTTTTTCCTGGTGATGCTGGGGATTGAACCCAGGGCCTTTTATATGCAAGGCAAGCACTCTACCAACTGAGCTATATCCCCAGCCCTAGGGCATGGCTCTTGAGTAACTCAATTTCTTTGACTGTAATGTAGGGATGGCAAGAGGACCCATGCTCATGGTACTCTGGTGGCATTTCATGACTTGAAACACTCCTGGAACAGCACTTTGCCTTCAGTAAATGTTCAATAGATAACGAATTTTGTCAACATAGGAGAAATAGAATCCGGGTTGGTTATAAGGAAGGTGAAGGCTCCCTGATTGGGTAGAGTCAATTGAAGTTACACTGAATAGACAGAAGGAGGGACTTACCAGATTTGAAGACACTGTGTCTGAAGCCACCTAGGTGAACAGCTCTGTGTAAAAAGAAGGAAGTTCAAAATGCTGCGAGTCAGAGCTGTGTCCCTTGGTCATTGAGTAAGAGACCTAGGAAAGTAAACATGACCGACCAAGGAGTCGTGGGAAGGAGGAGGAGGTGCGGAAAAGCCAGATTCAAGACAGGAGAGAAGAGAAATAGAAAAGCTCTTCCAATTGTGCCTTTTTGCCTCCATGTTTGCCTTCTGTCCCTGCTGGGCACAACTGAATGCAGATGGTCATTTTCAGGAGACCCAAGAGCCTAGTGCCACCTCTTCAAGATTCCCCGGCTTTGAAAGGACGCTTGCCTGCCCAGTCTTCAGACATTCGCAAACCCTTCCCAAAGACAAACCCTTTCCAACGCCCTGCTCTAAAACTGACCCACCTCTTGGGAGGTGAGGCCAGGGCTCGCCACTGAATGGGCACCATTGTCCTTCCGAGTGTCTGTGGGTCCAGATGCTGTCGGCCTGGAGGTGGCTCCACCGCAGCCTACGGTGCGGTCTGCCTGTAAGGCTTTGATTCCCTCCAGGGACAACACTTCAAAAATTCAAACAGGCAACACATGCAATTCCAGGAGTCCCTGCCAGGCTCATACTCTGTTTTTCCATCATTTCACTCTCCTCCCCTTCGGGAGGGAGCCTCCTTTGGCATTTTGCGTATGAAAAATGAAAACCACCAACAGGGCCAACACCTGATAAGGAGCAAGGCATTGCCTAAGAGTTCCCAGGAAGAGGCGTCTTTGTTCTCCTTTCAAGCCCTTGACACTGCTAACAGCTCTAATTACTGCATTGGCCATGGGATGTAAAATAATACCACATTCCAGAAACCCTGTAGTCTCCCTGGGAGAGACACACAGGGAGAGGTGCCCAGGGCTGCAGGAACGTGTTCTCTCATTTCTGGTCCCTAATGTTGGCAGCTATTCTGAGAACTCAACAGTACCTTCTTTATGTGCATGGAGAAGGGCACTTTTGCACGTGTAAGGGTACATCCTCTCACTACCCATACCCACCAATCTGGTCTGCGTATTTAACAACGCTTCATGCAGATCATGCTTCTGGAGAACGTAGGCTCTCCACCCAGGCCATTCTGGGGGGAAATGAGGACTTCAGAAGTTCCTGAGGCTGTGAGCAACAACAAAATGGAACTTCTTCCAATATAATTTAACTATAAAACCTGATGATGTAACACTCACCCACACCCACATCACAAACCAAAGTGACATCACAAATACTAAAGATAATGGCTCCAAACTGCCTACATCTAAGGCCAAGTCTAAACAGCAATTTGCCCACACATGGCTGAGGCAGAGAAAGACAGGTGACTAGAAATATTCAAACAAAACAAAACAAAAAAACAAAAGAGAAAAAAAGAAAAAGAAAATACATGTTTCTTCCCCCTACTAAGCTAGCTAAAATAAAATTTAAGGCAACCGAAATATGGTAAGGTGATATTATTTATTAATTTATATTATTTTGGGGGTATTGGGGAATTGAACCCTGAGGTGCTCTACCGATGAGCTACACCTCCAGTCCTTTTTATTTTTATTATTATTTTTTTTTATTTTGAGGCAGGGTCTTGCTAAGTTGCCCAGGCTGGCCTTGAACTTTTGATCCTCCTCCTTCAGCCACCTGAGTCACTGGGATTATAGGCGTGCACCGCGGCACCCAGCTGATTTTATTTTCTTATAGATGACATTTCTTAGAAAGTCAGGGCTCTTTAAGAATGTGATTCTAACCTATCCAAATTGTTTTCTTGTTCTTGCCCAGTCCCCGGAAATGGAGGCAAGTATGAATTACATGGGCTTTTGCCTCTATGGACCCTAGAATTTATTTTCCTCTTGAGCAGCTTTTCTTGGCTCATGGAAGCCTGGTTAAAAGGTGTCTTGGGGTTTGGCAGGACTCACCTGCTGTCAATTCTGTGTTGCGGTGTGGTTGTGAAGTGACTGAAGCTCCCATAGATGTCCTGAGTCATTCCCTCCCATCCCAGTCCCTGAGTGATCCCCTCCCATCCCTTTCCTGCATCGATTCCTTTCTTTCCAGCAGGACTAAAATCATCTTCTTTTATAGTAAACCCTCCCGACCCCCCAACCCCCAACTTTCTGCCCCAGCATGCTATGTTCTTTAAGAGTCGTGACCTTGTAAAGTTCCTATCTCTACCCTACTTGGAAGAAGAAGAAGAAAAGAGGAAGAAGAAGAAGGAGGAGAAGGAGAAGAAGGAGAAAAAGAAGGAGAAGAAGGAGAAGAAGGAGAAAAAAAAGGAGATGATTATTTCAGTGAGCAGGAGAGAGCCATATAACAAAATTTCTAAGATTCATATGGAAGAAACGGTCCATAGAATGATGTTAATACTTAGCCTTCAAAGTATAAATCTAGTCTCTGATTGAGAATTAGTCTTCTTTTTGTTTTATTCCTTCTCACCCCCCTTATAATTCTAGCACCCCCCAGCATCCTCACCTATGGACTCCGACGGTCCATCTTACTGAACACCAGGCTTCAGAATTGCTATGTGGTTTCACCAGCTCTCACCAACATCTGGACTGCCAGAACATGTGCAAGGCAGAACATCAAGACCCCAGCACCAGGTACCACCTCTTGCTGGGAAGTGGTAAAGAACCCAATAATTGCCAGTTCGTTCTCTCTGGCTAAGCTTGTGCTCTGGAGGCGATTGAAGGATAAATGCTGTCCGGTACCTTCCAAGTTTGGAGAAGCAAAGCCACTGAAGAGATTAAAGCCCAGGAACAATTCAACAATGAATGCCACGCAGCAGGCCAGGATAAGAAACTCCATCAGATCCAAGAACAAGCGGCCAGCAGGGCAGCTGCTGGGCTCACCTGGACGAGGACAGAGTCCTGCAGGAAGCATCGGCGAGGTAGACAATGGCCAGGAGTGGAGAAAGTGGGATGGGTGGGAAGAGGGAAATTCTAAAGTTGAAGACAGGATTGGGGAGGGAGGGTGCCCAATGACAGAGTGGACAGAGAACTAGATCTAGGGTCATAGTATGTATTATTATTTTATTTTTTATGGTGCTGGGGAGTGAACGCAGGGCCCTGTACATGTGAGGCAAGCACTCTGCCAACTGAGCTGTACCCCCAGCCCAGTATATATTATTTGTATTCCACCTCACTCCAAAGAAAGATGAAGGGACCTTCATAAACACAGACAAAAGGAACTTGGAGGTGAAGGGAAAATAAGGGTGAGAAAGGCCAGGATCATGCAAGCTCAGGCACATGTATGTGCGAGGTGAGCTGTGAGCTTCCATATGGAGAACCTGGCAGCTAGAGGCTGATGGGAGCCAGCTCGGTCAATCCTTGGTGGCCAGTGGAGCTCAGAGCATGTTTTGGAGCTCAACTGTCAGGGTTCATATCCTAACTCTTGACCATTAATTGGGGATTACCTTGGGCTTAACCTTTTTTGTGTCTTGATTTTATCATATAAAATGAGGGATAATGGCCTCTCCCTTACAAGGCTTCATGAAGATTAAATGAGTTAATACATGCAAAAGGCTTTTGAATAGCGCCTGGCAGAGTAAATAATTAGGATCCTGCATAGCGTTCAATAGATGACAGCTGTGGTTATTAACCCTCCAACTGTGTGGCCTTGGGTAAACCAGTTCCAATTTCTCTGCCTTTAAAGCTGTCTCCTGCTGACCTTCCAGGGCTCCGGGGAACACATGCAGTGGTATATAAAGGGGTTCAGTAAGCTAGAACATGCTGGACAAATGTTGGTTGTTGCTGCAACCAAGACTCTGAGACATAAATCCCAGATAATTATTCTGAGCTCCCTTCTCAAGTTTTAGCTTTGACTTCTCTGCTTTCCTCCTGGCTAGAGCAAAGAAAGTTCAAAGGAGAAAAAAGTAACAGTCCGCCAAGATCTTGAAGATAGATATGTGGAACGTGTGGCCGCCACCCAAGCACTATCCTGGGACAGAGGGATCGCAGCCTGGAAGGGCCGAGCGTTGCCTCCTGAAACCCCAATGAGACAGCAGGTGCTGGGGGACTCCCTAACAATCCATGGTCTCCCCAGAGTGTTACCGGGCTCTGTACCATGCCGTGGTGGAGCCGATGCTGTGGTGGAGCCGATGCTGTGGAATCCTTCAGGAACCTCCAAGAGATATAGCTTGGAGCTGGGCAAGGCCATTAAACAAAAACTTTGGGAAGCTCTGTGCAGTCAGGCCACCACCCTTGAAGGTGCTTAGAAGGACCCACTGTCTGGCAGGAAGTGGCTGGTTTCCATGAGCCTGTGCCCAAGAAATGGCCCAAGTTAAAGAGTGAAAAATAAAAATAGGAACCCATGGGAATAGGATATTCTCTGCTAGATGTCTGAAAAATAAACACTACTTTGCACCTTCTACATAATCTCAAAGAGTGCTTTACAAATTAGTGACTGTGAAACAAGACAAACAATCCCCTCTACACTCATGGGTAGGTAATTTATTTGTGTATGTTGCTTTAAAGAGATGGGGCCTCACTTAGTTACCCAGGCTGGGATACAGGTGTGACACCCTGCATCAGCACATGGTTATTTAATTTTGAGGGCTAGTGTTTGGAGGTTTTTTTGTACATAGGAAAAGCCCTGAATAGGAAGCCAATGGCTGAGGTCCCAAATTTTTAAAAAGTGGACTGTTAAGCTCTTTGTCTCCCTCCACACATCCTGAGCAGAAAGCCTACCACCACCTCAAGAAAATAAACCCACAGTCAGTCCCTAGCAGATGACCGCTTGTGACACTGCAGAAATGCCCTGTAACCTGGACTCCATGTTAACAGGAGAGGAAATCACATGGATGCTTCCACCCGCAAGCTGATGCAAAGCTCATGCAAAGCTCTTTGTAGGTTCTGAAGACCTTAGCCAAACAGCAACGACAACATATAAAACACATACTTGATAAAATTGTATTTTTTTTACAGTCATTTGTACAATTTGTTACAAAACCATAGACAACTATGACTTGTTTTAAATCATTTTTGGTCTGCAAATATGTAAAATCTGTGTGCAATTATCATGTATTTACAGGGCCTTGTGTTAGTCATTTTCAATGATTATTCCAACAATGTCACACTCTCAACATAAGACATGGCTTAAGATAAATATATTAGTAAATAAATATTCTGAGAACATATTTCCATAAATGAAATGTGCTGCTATACATATACAGAATATACATAAGTTGTTTTCTAGCTTTTAAAACAATTTTTTTAAAAAAATGGTAATGTTGGAAAAAGAGCCCTTAGACCATTTTATTACAAAATCTTTACAGCAAAGTTTTTACAAAATATCTTTTAAGTGCTATGGGAGAAATTAAAACAAAACTTTTTAAAATAGTGCCTTGTTAGACCAACACAATAGAATTTATATATAAAGAATAGAAAAAGGCAGTTCTGTTTAAAAGACAATGCTCTTGATTAGTAATTCATTTTTAGATCTCATTAAAAAAGCATTAGCCCTGCCTGAATGTGAAGGAGGAACAAGGAGCACATAGGGGAAGATCTGAGCAATAAAACAGGGTGAACTTAGGAAAATGGTGGGGGCTTCGGGTGGGGGAGGGGCTGTTAAACTAGCTTACTGGACCTGTGTCCACAAAGAGGTACATTGGTCAGAACATCCAAACATCCATTTTCAGCTGGTTCTAGAACTCTTCAGTTTACATGGCTGTCCTACACCCAGGGCCGGACCATAAGACCACACTCACTCCCTGACTCGGGGGATGTGGGGTTCTCAGTGTAAAGTGGGATGCTCTGTTTCCATGGTTAAACCACCACCATGCCACTGAGAGTCCACGGAAAAAGGTACCTGTCACGATTACTGGAGTCTTAGAGCTTCAAAGAAGACGTTTCTTTTGATTTAATGGTGACACAGATAGTTGTTAATTTATTCTGGTGACCTCCCTGTCTGGTGAGCCAATACAAATTCAAAAGATGGTGGTTGACATTTTAAGTTTTTAAATTTTCATTTTTGCTTCTACTACAACAATTAAATATCCTTCTTTTGTCATCTGCAGCTATCACTCTTTCAAAACGAAATTGGATGCACGTAACAAATCCAGTGGCAGCTAGATTCTGTATTCCATCTATTTAATGCTTAAGGCTTTTGAGGAGTGGTTTCTAGCCAGGACTAAAGAAAGCTGCTTTGGGGGTATGGTTTCAGACAAGGAAGATAATATGCTTCAAAGGCATTAAAAACAAGAAAGCAAAACCACAAACAACAAAAATCTCAACAATGAGAAGCTGCTTTCTGCAGTTCATGTTAAAAGCCATACACCCCCCTTCCCTAAACCATGTAATGCAAGCTGTTGTCCTGAGCAGCTGCTACTCCTGGCCCCAGAAATAAAGGCAGCCCTGATCTCATGTCAACAGCTTAGGCGCTTCTCACACTCTCGCCAACAGGTGTGCTGGGACAGCTTGTGGGGAGCCACCCCCAAGGGACCATACCCCAGAGGCTGGAGGACAAATCTCTCCACAGTGAGTTCCTAAATGGCAAATGGCTCCACCCTTTGATGCTGGGATCAGTGTCAAATCCTAGCTAGAAATAAGTACATTTCCTGATCATAGACTGGGGTTTTAAAGAAAAAAGGATTATATAAAGAGATATCTCATTGAAAATGTTCCAGTCTGTACCCTGGGTTGACTTCCTGTGAGCTGTGAGTGGTAATAAGGGTTTCCTTGCAACCTAGGGTGGTCCCTATTTCCCCTACAGGAGGCCAGAGCTCAAGGTTCCTATGCTGCAATGAACATTTAGACCAAACAGATAAAACTTTAAATGGCAACAAATATCTGCTAAATGAATAAAAGTGACCAGAAATTACTTCACATGAAGGCTAATGTGATTAGGTGCTTTTTTTTTTTTTTAAAGGACAACAAGGACTACATTGGACAAAAAGGATGACAATCCCTGATCTGAAGTAGTTTTAAATATTCTCTCCCTTTTAAAAATGAAACATCTTAAAAAAAAAAAAAAAACAAGTTTGGGTTCTTAAAACTCTCCCTCCCCCTTTTAAAAAAACAAACAAAAGGCTGGAAAAATATACAAAACCCTACCCTTTGGGGTCTAAACTATCTGATAGTCTCTCTGTCTCATGGAGAATCAATACATAATAGTGCATTAGGTAGACAGGGTAGTAGACATTTACAGGCGAGATGAGCAATTTCAGCCACTAGGCAGAGGGCTGAAAAACCCTGAAGCAGTGCTTCCGTGGGGGGGAAATGGAATAGGAAAAGCATCATTCGAATGGAGCTCAGTGCACACCCTGAGGGGTCTGAGAACTTGCCCCCAGGAAGGCAGTCCAAGGAAGCAGCAGTCAAGGGGCATGGCGGCCCTCACAAACGTGCATGTGCACAGGCTTGCTCCAGCGTGCCCATCCCTTCTCCAAAGGGTAGTGTGCTGCTGGGAGAGCGCAGAGCACTCCTCCCAGCCCCATCGGACACCAAGGCCACAAAACTACATTCCTCCTGGGTGTCTGCCCCATACACCCTGCTGAACCATTTCTGCAGCCAGTGGCAGGAAGCACAAAATATTTTTCCAAAGGATTCCAAAGTTAGGATCACAGAAGGGAGAGCTTCCACTTCCCTGCCCCAGGGCTGAGAGTTCGCGTACAAGACTACATGAACACCGCCCTTATTATAATCTGGACCTCTGTCAAGACCAGGACCAGGAACTTTTTGCTTGGGATAATGACCCAAAGGGACCAACTGAGGATACTGGGCAGAATTGTTCCTTTCACCCTGGGGCTTCTTTAGCAATGGCTCGACTCAGCTCTCCAGTGCTGCAGATTTTATGGCCTGGGCCTACTCCTCGCCATTTCCATCCTCTGCCTATAGGTGTGGGCTGGAGAGGCGTGGCTTCGGAGAGGACCTGACATTTTTTATGTTCAGATTTGCCACAAGAAAGAAAGGCAGCTTTGCATTGTTCCTCAGAGTTTGTACCCATATCAACTAGCTTTACTTCAAGTTTCTGGTTCATTTTCTAAGGCAGGTGTAGCCCTGAGCTTTTCAAAGGCCTGAGCTCCCTCACGGGAGACAACAGTATCTACACATGATGTGGTTCATTTAATGCAGCAGTGATTTTTTTTCTTTTTCAGCAAAAGTTGGCAGCTAGGGTTCTTTAAAATATATATTTAAATAACTTTTTACATTTACATATAATATTAAAAAAAACAGAGAACTCAATCCCACACACCTTGGAACCCCAAGCACACACTCTACAAAACAAAAAATAACATGTTATCAAAAGACACAAAGGACTCAGAATTTTGTCTGTTGGTTTGCTAATGAGGGTGGGGGGGCAGTGGGGGAGTTGCCACAGGTGGCTCACATTTTGGGTTGAGAAAGAGGGCTCTCTTTATTACCACTTTTGTGTTTGTCAAAGCTAAAAAAAATTTTGTTTCTTGTTTTTGTTTTGAAGGAAGTCAGAGTTTGGAGTCTCCATAAATTTCCCAATTTCCAGATAAGAGTTCCTTCTGAGCTCAGGCTCCTGGGCTGCTGCTGTCTGGTGGGCGAGATCCCAGTCCTAGGAGAGAGAAGGAGAACACTCATTAAGGGAGGCACTGCAGGCTTTGGAACAATGCATAGGGAACAGGAGAGGGACCCAGGTACCCTGTCCTTTGTGATGGGCAGGCTCTTAGGAAGTGACAGTTCTGTCACATCGACTGTGTGCACGGTAACCACTGAAGCACAGCTCCTTTTCTGAGAGGAGCTCAGTCTATGCTAAGACCATCCCCACCCCACCCCCCGCATGTTTTCCTCATCCCAGAGCCTTCTGGAAGCCCTTAGATAGCATGAAAACACAATGTACAAAGTGATGTTAACTGACTGCTGGGTGTAGGCCCTGGGAAGAACAGGGAGGAAGAGCCCCTCACAAGCTTGCAGACTTTCCCACAAAGTAACCTCGGCTTGAGATGACTTAGGAAGTAAGCAGATGGTTCAAGAGTGACCTAGAAGGGGCTGGAGGGTCACCGGGCTGAGATCTGAAGAGGTCTGGAGGCAGAAATGAGCTTGTCTGGGACAGGCTGAAGGCCACAGCGGGGTAGAGCAGAGAGTAAGGAGAATAGAACAGACAATGGTGGATGGGTCAGAAGGAGCCAAATCACAGACAACTGGGGGAGCAGTTTCCATTTTTAAGATTCTAAAGGTAATGGCAAGTCACTAAAGGTCTTTCTAAAGACATCAACTAATGTTTCAAAAAAGAATATTCTGGGGCTGGGGTTGTGGCTCAGTGGTAGAGCGCTTGCCTAACATGGCCCTGGGTTGATTCTCAGCACCACATATGAACAAACAAATAAAGGCCCATCAATAACTAATTTAAAAAAAAAAGATATTCTGCCTCCGAAGAGGAATAGAAGGCCAGGCCAGTTATAGAAA